AGGGTGACCAAGAAGGTGAAAGGCCTCAAGGGCAATACTTCCTTGGAAGCGGCTGAGGTCACTTAGTTTGTTCACCTTAGAGAAGGCTGAGGGGTGCCCTCATGGCAGTCTACAACTTCCTCAAGAGAGGCAGCAGAAGGAGAGGTGTTGATCTCCTCTCTCCAGTGAGCCACAACAGGACACAAGGAAATGGAATGAAGCTGCATCAGGAGAAGTTCAGGTTGGACATTAGGAAAAGGTTCTGCATTGAGAGGGCAGTCAGCCACTGGAGCAGGCTCCCCAGGGAAGTGGTCATGTCACCAAGTCTGTCAGAGCTCAAGGATGATCTGGATGACACTCTTAGTCATATGGTTAATTTTAGGCAGTCTTATGAGGAGCAAGGAGTTGGTTTTGATGATTCTTATGGATCCCAACTTGAGATACTCTGTGACTCTACTTTGCGTAGCCCACTTGCCCAGCCAAGGGAAAAGCAACCATAGGCTCAAACCAGCTTGCTCTTCACTGTCCGTTTCTTCTGTTCTGAAACAAGGTTTTCAGCTGGACAAGTTACTCTGGACGTGAAGAGAATGCTTATACTATACAGAATGCTTCATTCCTGTTTCATTCATGCTCGGAATTGGATGGTACAAGCAGTTTAAACTCTTCAGCCAAAGATGGCCATACACATGTAAATATCTGCAACTCCAAATACTTTTTGCAGGTGACTGAAGTAATCATTCGGACAGATAACAACATAGAATACACATAGCCAGTGCAACTAGGTCTCTATTTTAAGTCAGATATAGACCTATTTCCCACCCTGAGAAGTGACATCTCTTAGTCCAGCGTTTTAGAAGCACAAGCTCACTCAATACTTCTCTCCATGTACATTCCAGCAGGACATTATGTATCACATTTATGTCACCTCTCAGCACGCACTCTAACCAGAAATAAAACCAATACATTTAAAATATCTAACTTTCTTTTATCAGAGTGAAGACTTGAGTAAGTTGTAATCTGAGTACAGTAACAGTTTGTATAAGCTGCAAGAGAAGTTTTTCTGATGGTAAGACAACAATTCCCAATTCCCTTGTTAAAAAGTGGTTGCTGAGCAAGAGTTCTGAAGAGTAAAGCAGAGGAGAACCTTCTCAACTCAAGGGAAACTCCAAAACATTTTGGTAAAGGAGCAGCACCAGCTCCTTCCTTTGGTCCAGACTTAAAGACAACTTTAAAATAAAACCAAACAAACACCAAGTACCAATCCACCCAGATTCCACTTCATCACAAGCCAGTCAACACATAACCCATCAACTGCTCATGGCACACAGTAATTTCTGCTTCACTCCCCAACTATCTACTGTCACTGCCAAGTTTAATATGCTTTCAGACAGAGTGAGCTAACATATTGAACTTTAAGCACATAAACTCTACCCCTTGCACACCATGTCTGCAGAAAGGATATAGCTAAGCATTCAATATGCCTTTTTGGAAAAGAAAGTTAAATTTTGTCCTTTCTAGTCATTAGAAAGACTGAGGAAGGCAAAGCATATGTTAAATGCATTCGATAGCTAACACTGACAGTAAAAGCTTAACTACAGAAATACAGAATCAATTACAACTCTTCAAATGGATGGTGTAGCCTGGCATAAAGCTTGAAATGTTACAGCCTGCACATGCCTGTCAACACCCATCTGCAACTACAAAGACTGAGTGGATAATCACTATCAGCAGCGCCTGGGGTTATTCACCCCAACACACAAAAGGCTATTCACACTAATACCTGTGTGGCTTTAGGTTTAAGTGTCCAAATGTAGACCCTCTGGGATCATACCAGCAATATCAAATTCTTGGATTGAACTGCTAAAATTCTTTTTTATGTTACAAATTGTTCAGCTTTCTTGTAGTGATACGAAGCAAAGTAGTATCATGTAGAAGAGGGCATAATCAAACCACTTAACATTATCTAGATTTGTGATTTCAAGTCAAAACAAAAAAACCCAAAAAACTTTCTGGTCAAGTTTTCCATCCATAAAAGATGTAAATACCAGAGGGTTCCCTACATTAGCCCTTCTTACCAGACTCGTCTATTTCAACTGTATCTCTGCCAAGTAGGACTCTTCATTTACAAGCTAGTTTGCTAGCTAAAAGGATGGATCTCTTCCTAGACTTTTAAAAAAGCCCTCTGCCAGCAGAAACCAGTCTAAGTTAACTGTTCCTTGAAAACAGCAGATAGTTTTCCTCCCAAGTTAGTTCTCAGCAAGTTGACTGCAAATGCTGAGAGTGCTGTCATGCTTCGCTCAGATAGAACAATAGCTTTATTCTGAAAACTTTGTTTCCAAACAGAAAAACAAGATACAGGAATAAAAGAGCACTTTGTCCAAACCCAGGAACCAGCTCTTCTCCCAAGCAAATATCCCTGCAGCTCTGCCTCTGGCCCACTGCACCTTAGACTTCCCTCTTCACAGCTGCACAACTGCAACCTGAACAGAACAGCTGTAAACCTATCTATATGATAAACAGGGAGAGAGAAACAGATGGACACAAATGAACATGCCATTCATAGTCTTCTGGATAATCTTGCTGGTTATTCATCTGAAGATGGTCCAGAGCATACCTGCTTGAGTGTAATTTCAAGCTAGACACCCTAGAGATACCTTATTACAAGTCATGCTTGTGTGCAGAAGACAATTGCTGTCACAAATGTCCTAATGTCGTAATGCACTTACCTCATTGTGGTTTTACTTCCGTAGTTTATTCCTACTTGTTGATATGGTGTCATCCTCCTCCTCCCAAGCCAGACACACAACGTAGAATTCATCAAATTACTATTCTCAACATGCATACGTACTAAATGAACTGTTACAGAAGAAAAACACCTTTTAATCATTTCATCTTCAGTGAAGAACAATGCAAGACTATTTTCCCCAGGAAGAATTTCTGTCCTCCCTCTGTCCTTCTATAAACCCTGTTTTTTTCCCCACAACTAGAAACTTTATAAAGCGATCCTTTTCATCTTTCATGTAAACACTACTATTGAGAATGAGATTAGTACTTGAAGTCTAGAAAAATAAGACTAGCCAGAGGGCATGGGAAATGCAGCAATGACATTTATTAGAATTTCTCCAGGCATTACATGTAAAAATTTATACGTGAAACAGAGGATAAAGCACATTCAGTGCATCTTAAAAAAAAAAAAAGTATCTGAATAACCTTGATTCTTTGAAATACACACTACTGCAGGTCCTGGGATTGGTTTTATATGTACACACCAGCTAAAACCTACTCTGAACAAAAGTGAAAAGAACTGCCTTCTCACTCGGCATTTTCCCACGTAGTACATACAATATTCTTGAAATATCTAGACAGATTCCACATAATTTTATACACAGTGTTAAGACTTTTCACCCCAACTGTAAAAAGAAAGACTGTTAAGTAAATCAGTATCTTTAATCAAATAAAACACCATGGAAGTAAAAAACAACAACAAAAAAAACCCCAGAAGGCCCCAAGCCCCTAAGTTCCACAGCAGCGTGCAGCAAATCAGCATTGTTGTTCCTCATTTTTATGTTAACATAAAGCATAATACTTAGAAAGCAGTGATATTCAGTCCTTGCTTTCTAAATTGGACAATCTTATGCATAAAGACACTGCTCAATTTGGCACTTTGCTTAATTGTTTTTCTTATTAAAAAGAATGTGTTTCCTGAAATATGGTAAAAATGGTAAGAGACAACATGAGCCACTGTAACACTCAATTAACAGTTCAGACACGCACTCCAAAACACATCTATTACACATTTGTCTAAGCCTTCTCAAAAATTCCACTCAAAAACATTTTAAAATCTATATGCATCTTTTTATATCTTTATAAAACATATTTTCTCCCTTGAAATTATCAGAGTTCACCTCACCTTCTGCCCAGAACACACAAACTCATTACTTTGTTTTAAAAAGAAGACCACAAAGCAGTATTAAAACAGGAATAACCTGTAAAGCATTATTAAAACTGCATCAGTACTTCAGAATCCCCTTTGAAATGTATATCCACTATGTATGTGAAAACTGAAAGGTATGTAATAATTGAAACTTGCTTGGTCCTCTCTTGTACACTTATGCCGAACTTCCTGCAACTTGCCTCAGCTTTTGTCTTCAAATAAAATTTAAGAACAGCATTCTGGCTCCCACTATGATAAGACAAGGCTTTTGCAGTGTTTCTTTGGTTAATTGAGAACCTCTTACATGCCTAACTCTTATGACAGCAAGTCTCCCGCAAAAAATTAACATCAGAATAAATACTACCTTATAGCCTTGCTTCCTTCCTCCTGTCATCACGACCAACCCCAGGACAGGTGGAAGCAAACAGGCCGGGAAGGAAGTAGCAGTCACCATTAGCTCTTGCCTTTACAAGTTCTGCGAGTGCATATAGATAGCTACTTCTTAGCTCTGAGTTACAGAGGCAGAGCTATGATGTGATGCTTTTTGTTTCCAGTTCCAACATGCACGTGGAATACATTGCTGACTGGTACAGCCCAGGCAGCAGATGGCACTAGAACTCTTTCTGTAGGAACCAAGTCATGATACTCATTCTGCTTATTGGTCTGTGCACACATCATCAATAGAATTAAAAGAGAGGCACACATGAGTACACATAGATTTTCCACAGAAGATGTGAAACATGCTGCTCTTTGGAGGGAAAATTACATTCTTCTTTTTTTTTTTTCTTCAAGTATTATTCAACATACATATATATAAAGACACGCTACCCTCAGTTCACTACAAGACAAGCACATCCAGAGTGAATTTGCAGATGACCATTATCTTGGCTTTGATTACTGAAATTTCTCTTCTCCTTTAGGTTGACTCTAAATATACATCTACTCATCATAATTACATGTGAGAATCTTTTATTTCCACCTTGTGATTTATTTACACAATCATAAAAAAAAATTAATAGCCTGAATTTGCATACTGACATTTGAAGGCCGATTTGTAGCTGTAAGTGTCCCAGCACTAGTTTTGGATAATGCCATTGCCTATTGCTAAGTCCTTTGAAAGCAGCATACTAATTTTTTCTTTCCCTTTTTTTGAAGAAATGCTGCCTAGAAAACCCTGGTTTATGGCTTACTCATTATTTTATTTTATTTTATTATTTGGATTACAGTTTACTTCCTTCAGGAGCAGTTCACAGTCAGACAATGCTTCCGCTGGCAAATACTTCATTATCTGCTCAAGAGCCTTCTGATACGTCAACTTCTCCTGTTCCAGGGACTGTATTGCTGTCTTCATTTTGTTCTCTCGAGCCAAAATAGTCTCCAGGCTGGATTCCAGACTCTGAATTTTAGCATGAGCAACCTGTAAATGGTAACATTATTTTTAAAACAAATTGAGAAGTTCTAAATAACTTTTAGATATTCTGTATGCTAAGTAAAGAACCGAATCACATAGATGTTTCTGAAAGACATCCATGTAGGCAGATGATACAAGGAATGCCTACTGTGTTTCATACACAGAATCTCCTTATAGTGGCCAGATCAAGCTGAGGGATTTCTGAAAACTTTGCAGAAGGAAGGAGACATACAAGTTTCAGGAAGCAAGGGACAGTTGAGAGCAACAAGAAACTGGAGCGGCAGGGAGAAAAAGGAAATCAGCAGTTGGAGTAGCACTGGAAGAGATGACTTCTCTGACAGTGATGGAGCAATGGGAACCCTGCACAATGAAGTAAATTAGCAGGATGGAGTGGTTAAAAAACTCAATGTTAAGTCTCAAAGCAGATAGTTTTCCCTGTTCTCCAACAAACGACGTAGAGCTTCCTCAGGGGAAAAAAAAACATTAATTCTGGTTTCAGTCATCAGAAACCCTGGACCTCAGTAGTAGCAAATGTCTCTCTATGGGCAATAGGGGAATTCTGACCGTTCCTAGGAAAGAGCTCAAGCAGAGGAATGAAAAAACTATACAAACAAAGAGATGAAGAGGTTAAGGAACTGAGGAAGGTGCATTACAGTACAGCACTATGGAAGAACAGAAGACCTTTGACAGAGCCTTTCAAATCAGTCACTCATAATTATTCTGTGCACCCTTGGTGCATTTTCAGAACACAGATAAAAGGCCAGGTAGCAGTAAACAAATAAATATAAATAATAAAGCAAAAAAAAAATAGTAAAAAAGCAAGTGATCCCTGTTTTCAAACTCAAAAGAACACAGCACAGCACCCTTAGCCCATAAACACAAAAATAACGAGGACATGATCTTTCCATTTTTCCTTGCTTCTATTTTCAGGCTACACAAGCTGAAGGTGCTCTCTGAGCTCTTCCCAATGCTTTTTGAAATTAAGAAATATAACAAGAAGTGGCATGGTGATGCAAAAAGAAGAGCTTGTCTTTCAGGAAAATGCAAGACAATGCATATTAAAACCTGAAATAAGTCTTTGCCAGGCTATGGAAGAAAAGGTGGAAGAAAGAAGGAGGAAGAAATGACTTTTTAAAGCATGAGTTTATTGTGCTAAGTCTGGTGGGCACTCTGCTGTATTCAAATCTACTAGGAGAGATCACCTTTCAAAAGTAGGACTATTTCAGCAGAAGGAAACTGAATGATACTGCCTACAAAGGTGTGGAGAAAGCAAGCCTACTGCACTGTGGATTATGTCTTAAAACTTTCCAATAGGGGAGCAAAGAGATGAAGGGACAGACAACTTATTTTTCAGCAAGCTACACAAATTTTGCCAACAGATTTAATGGGAGATATTTTGAGAAAAAGAAATCTAAGTACAGAAGGAAAACTCCAAGGAATTACAAAGGAGTTAAAAACACGTCTCTCAGAAGTAAACCACTGTAACAGAGAGCTGCTCAACTGCATTAAGGTCTTGCAGTTAGAAGACTTCTCATGTACATTTAAAAAAGACACTTTCTCCTCTGTTGTCTAAATCATAGAAATGACCTCTCCATGTGTTTGTAGTCTTGAGTCATTTACCTGTAGCTTCTCCAACAAATCCATGTTTTGTCTCTTCAGATGACTGTTCACCCTCTCCAGCTTCTCCAGGGGTTCACCTTCATCACAAGTATTCACATTTTCCTGCAGCTCGTCCTGAAGAACGTGGTACTCTACTTCATAGGCATGGAGCTGTTTTGAAATATCCATCTCAAACACCTGCCATGAGAGGAAAACACAATTTTTAACTACAATAGAAGACACTTATTCTACATGAATGTTTGGCTAAAAGGCAATTCAGCTTGACTAACTTAAAGCTTTTTCCTGTTGCTCTCAAAAAAGTATTTTAAGGGGAAGTCTAGAGTAAGAACATTTTAGCATATAGAGTTCTTATCGTAACCATAATAAATCATAGACTTTGCAATAAACTGGATCATCACTTTTACAATTACCAAATACCATCTCTTACTATGAGATGTGTCAGCAGAAGTCTTATTTAATCCAATAATTTCATAATATGACTAAGTCATCATCTCTTGCTCAGGAATATTAAGAAGTTCAATAAGAAATTTTTAAATTCAAGTCTCACCAGCTTGTGATGGGAGCAGGATCACACAATGAGGAAGAATAATCCAGGAGTTGTCAGACCTCCACCCTCAAAACTGGATCTCTTGACTCCAAGTGCTCATTTATAAACTTTTATAAAAACATTCTTCATGGTTACAGTTTCCCTCTGTTCTGTCTCTGCGTGAAGATACACTATTTTCTTATTGGGATGCTTTGGTGACAAAGCATTGTGAAGACTATGGAATCGAGCATCTAGCAGTGATGGGACCATGTGACCCTTATCTGTTTATACATCTAGTCAGCCTCTCAGCTTCTGAAAGTTATCAAATAGTTCAGACTAGGAAGGGAAGGATGCCTATGGTGAAATTAATTCTGCTCCTTGTTTTAGAGATCACTACACCAAGAGAAGGCACACACAGATCACCCAACAAAATAAATTCTGCATTACATTCACCGTTTTTCTGGTAAATCAAATGAGGCAAAACTTTAAATTACATATGGTGTTCAAGCTGGGCAAGTGCCACTTTCCTCTATGTATCCACCTGGTCAATTCTTCATCTGTGTATTACAGTCCTTCATAATGTTTACATTTTTCTTTCATTATCTGCTATAAGAGGATGGTCCTGGGGACTGAAATGCTGAGACAGCCAAACGACTCCATGTGCAGCCAGCCTAGGTAGGAGCAATACTATATAGGTAGTCTACATGCAAATGCAGATCCAGAAGGCTGCTCAGCATGAGACCACACCACAGGCAAGCAGGTGACCTTCCTCTCAGAGCCAAGCTGGCCTGCGTAATCCCGTCCAGCTCGGCTCAGGCTACATAATCCATTCTTTACTCAATCAGACCTGGCTCTGCACAAAGCCACTTCTACCGTACTCACCACAGCACGATTGCTCTGCAACCTATGCAGACCACAGGACAGAGATCTAATTTCTAATAGTATCAAAAATATTGAACTCTCTATCATTGCCAGAATCAGTGAGTTATGAAGATAGACACCTAAAGTGTTTGACATGGGTTTAGAATGGCAATCACAATCAGTGCAATGAGGAAATTAAGATTTACACATTGTCATTTACACGAATTCTTAACTGACATGACCTGAAACATTCAAGTGTTAACCAAGCCATAGGAATGGATCAGTGTTAACTGC